TATATATATATATATATATATAAGCACAATACTGTTATCTCCAAGATATACGTATAATTTATTATTCAATTTGTTTATTCATATTAACATATATACCAGAAAAAGGGATGCAAACCTTGAAGACAATGCCCTTCAGCTATAAGTTGGATATAAAGATGAGCAAATATAGGAAATAACAACGCAGAAAGCTCTGCTCGAAAATTATCAAAGGAAGAATCAATATGCTTCAAAAGCGCCACAAATTCACGTCTGATAACATCACTAAAATTTATAATTACTGCATATTTTCAGCAACATTTAAATTCTCATATAAATGAAAACCGATAACATTAGAAATTTCTTAATGAACAAAATCTTTAGCTTTCGATACAGCCTGTTCATATGTTGCCATTTTTCTGAATGACTAGATCAATTTAAAATTTAACATTTACAATTTTTCATGTTTAACTTCAGAGCTGTAATCAATTGCAAACAGATGAACTTACTTGCTTCCATCACTATCAACACCGTCTTTCGAAAGATTCAGAACAGCTGCAGCTTCTTTCGATAAAGCTTCTTCAGATTCCTTAAGAGTGAAAAAAAACGTGTAAAGCAATAAGAGCAATTTTATAGGAGAAAACATGAAGCACCTACCGTTAAGCCGTTTTTCTTCAAGAAGGCTAGAATTTGTTGCAGAGAGTCAGCAGAAAGAGGTTGCTGAAACACGTCTGCATCCATATCTGAAATAAATCCCCGTTTCATGAACTCTGATTACAGAATAAATGAAATAACCTTGTATTACCAATACAGTACACTAAAAAAACTCAGTACTAATAATCTGTATTTCTAGTATGTAACCTTTTCCGAACAAAAAATACCTTTACACCATTATTTGGTTGATAAACCAAACATTATTATCCACAAATTCAAGCCATAAAGACTTAAATAAAGTCACGAAGTAATATTCTATTACAAAGCTTTGCGTCACCCCTTACCTTTTTTAAGTTTATCCTCCTTTCTGCCTTGAATGATCCTTATAACTCACGGTAACCTCTGCCATCAACCTCCGAATACATAAAAATGTAGCTGGCTGCCAATAACTATTGCGTAACTCCAGAATAAACAATCTTCAGTTAAAATTGCTATAATTGCTTTTAATCAGAAGTGAGTAGAATGGGCACTGAGTGTAATAAAACATTTAAACAAAATAAGCAGTATTTGAGGTAAAACTTCACCAAAATCTTGTTAGCAACACTTGAAAGTAGCACCAATTTGAGCATAGCCAAAATATTTATCACTGGTTTTCTCATACATATATATATAACATAGTAAATATCTCTATATATAAACGAATGACGAGATATTTCTCATTGTGCCTGATGCCATCATGACAACAACCTAGTTTGGATCTCTTGATTGTGAAATTAATCACCAAAACTTTTTGATCAGATGTTTGTCAAAGCTGACATCAGATACAAATCATAAAATCTGATCCAGAAATGTTTTACTTCACTTATTCTAAACAAAGAAAAATTATAAACATGTACAAAGCCCTAATTCATATCGTTTACCAATAAAAGAGCTTTACATTATATTTCTTAGCTAAAGTAGCATACAATTTAAAAAGTAGACAACCTGTAAGCAAAATTATTTACGAATAATTCTGTAAATCACATTAACAACTGCAAACTATTTAAAATTTGGTACATCTGAGAGACAATCATATTTAACTCAGTAAAGTACTCAAACTAAAAGCATGAACTACCCTTTTCCGTCTCTTTCCTTTTCTAATATGACTTTGATAATCACAAAGCAAAGAAAAGAGAAAAAGAAAAAAAGTATTTTAAAAAAAATAAATCTCAACTTGAAACACAAAAAAACAAAATGCTCGAAATTCTTGACATTCAAACATGCGTCTACAAACATACCAGTAAATTACGTAAACAAACTTCAACATTCGAACTTTTACATATAATACCTGCAATCATGGCACAATACGATTAATATACTGAAATCATTGATTATTATTTACTAACACGGAAGAGTTTTCCAAACTGTAGTTTAAAATTGCATTCAATTAAATTCAAAAACTGATTAGCATAAGCCTTAACAGTATAGTCTCAAATCCATCACGCTATCTTTTAATGT